TTAACAATAACATATATTCCCATATGACAACATGCATAAATTAACTGCCTACATTAATTCATTGTAAACATACCTTCTGACTGGGACTCCCCTGCTGCCAGAAACCCCATGACCGCAAAGAACTTCCATCTCATTCCGATCCTGCTGCAGACCCGCTCCTCTTCTCCTTCTCCATCCTCTTCTACTTGGAGTATGTGTCCCTGAGGCTCTTCCACTTTCTCCTGCAGATGTCCTCTGAATAAGTACATTATCTCGTTAGCAGAAAGGTATTTGTACATCAGTAGGAAAATAGCGGGACAGTAGGCGGCTTGCTAGCTTTTGTGCGGCTTCCCCGGGTCAGTCAAAAATTTCAAAAGAGAAATGAATGAACTTACCAGGTTGCCCGATCTCTTCACACATCTTCCTCCGAGCTAGGCCTTTTTTAGTCCTGTCTCGGTAGAGAAAACAGCTGGTGTCGTACAGCTCCGGGTGGTTTGCTACGGCGTTGATGAGCCTTTCCTCCATATTGAATGAAGAATAAATGGCTTTGGCTGGACCTTCCCCTTTTAACTACGGTCAGAGCATCATGTCACCAGGCTCCTGATTGGTTGTCGTGGCGCGGCTTGAAGCTGGATATGCGCGAATGCACAAAATGCAGCACACAAACTGCCGCATGTATTTTTATTCGTGCTTCAAACGTGTCAGTCACGCTACTCGCGCGACTCATGCGTTTTCACGATGCAAATCTGCTTCTGAATTTTCGCGGGACCCCAGTCGCGCTTCATCGCGTTCCTCCATTGACTTTACATGTAAACCTGATGCTCTGGTTGCGTCTATCGCTTTCGGTGTGAACACACCGTAAGAGAAATATGCACTCTCTTTCTAGTCCCTGTCAGTACTCAGATTGGATAAGTGTAGCCGGATTATAACGACAAGAGGGAAGGTAGTCAGAACTGAGGGGATCGAACTACCAGAAGCCAACATTGCAAGCATCGAGGACAGCCACAAGTACCTGGGGATCATGCGGCCAAATGGGAACCACAAAGAGGTCACTCGGAAAGCTGCAACCACTAAGTACCTGCAGAGGTTCAGGCAAATCCTGAGAAGTCACATGAATGGTAAGAACAAGATCTGGGCTATAAACACCTACACCCTGCCTGTGATCAGGTACCCTGCTGGCATAAAAGCCTGGCAAAAGTATATAGTAAGCCTATACTAGTTCAACGATTTAAAAACAATGCATGGGCAAATTCAATGAATTGCACAGTGATATAAACATCAGATCAGATGTTTATAGGTCAGATTTCCTGAAGTTGTTTACATGTTAGTGGAGAACCTAATGAGTCCCATAGAGGATGGAAGATTTCTAATAAAACAAAGCCATATAGTCAGTCACTTACCTTCTTAGTTTAGAGCTGAAAATATATTATTCCAATACAGTAACAGTTGCATTTTCTTTTGTTATTCTTGAATACCATTTATGTAATATAGTTCCATAGTCAGTAATGTTTTTGTTTTTGTCAATGGATGTTGAATTAAATGTAACATTGGTAACTTTTGGTGGGTTTGCAGAATTGCACAAATACAGGTATCTCTATTTTGTAGTTATATCCACGTTATATATTCTGATTCTCTGCTTTAATTCCACTATAGTGTACCTTATTTGGACTCACAAAAACCTTCACGAGCCAATGTACATTTTTATTGCAGCTTTGTTAATCAACTGTGTTCTTTACAGCATGATTATCTATCCAAAGCTCTTATCTGATGTTTTGTCTGAAAAACAGACTATATCATATCCACTCTGTCTTTTCCAAGGATTTTTATATTACACCTCAGCTGGGTCAGAGTTTTTACTGTTGGCAGCAATGGCATATGACAGGTATGTGTCTATATGTAAACCCCTGCAATATCCAGTTATTATGAATAGAATAACTATATATGTATGTCTGATTTTAGCTTGGCTTATACCTGCTTTTGAAACCTCAGTACTGGGTGTGTTGTATTCGAATGTCAAACTCTGTAGCTTTACTCTGACAGGAATTTTTTGTAACAATTCACTTTACAAGCTTCAGTGTGTGCCCTCGGTTGCAATATCTATATATGGTATGGTCATGTTGATAAACATTGCCCTTCTACCTATGCTTTTCATACTTTTTACATACATCAGGATTATTAGAATATCTTACCATTGTTGTAGAGAAGTGAGGAAAAAAGCTGTAAAGACATGTTTACCCCACCTGCTGGTGTTAATCAACTTTTCCTGTTTTATTTTCTTTGATGTAATTATAGTTCGACTGGATTCTGATCTATCAAAAACTCTTCGTTTGACATTGACGTTTCAGTCAATTTTATTCCATCCTCTTTTAAATCCAATCATATATGGACTTAAAATGAATGCAATTTTCAAACATATCAAAATATTGTTGTCAGGTTTAATAACACTGGTGTTAATGCCCTATTATCAAATGTATGGCATATAATTTGAAATTGTAATGCAAACTAGATAATGGAGTACCTTTTCTCCAGACAGAGGAAAAGAGATCAATTTTATAGAAATGTCATGACATTTATGTAAATGTTGATTTCTGTTCTTCTATTGATGAAAGCATAATGGTCATAAAACAAAGACAAACAATTTCTTAAACTGTTTCTGGTAATGTTTAAATTCTAAACAGCTTATATGCCTGCATTTCACATTTTCCCTTCTTTATTGTCATAGATTATTATTTACTATTGTATATTCACATAAAAATAATTTAGTAGAATGAATCAATTAGTAGAAGTCTCTCTTTGATGCTGACAAGCATATGAATATTCATCACAGTGTCTTCTGTTTTAATAATAATAATGGATTGGATTTATGTAGCGCTTGTCAAGGCACCCAAAGCGCTTTACAATTCCACTATTCATTCACTCTCACATTCACACACACTGGTGGAGGCAGCTACAGTTGTAGCCACAGCTGCCCTGGGGCAGACTGACAGAAGCGAGGCTGCCATATCGCGCCATCGGCCCCTCAAAGAGCCCAGGGATCGAACCGGCGACCTTCCGGTTACAGATGCGCTTCCCTGAGCCACGGTCGCCCTTAAATATATATAACTGTTTTCTCAGTTATATATATTTATGCAGCTAAATAAGGTAATAAAAATTAGCATGACCAATTGTAAAATCACCTCCATCAGCTACATGAAGTTTACAACACTTAAAAAAAATTTTAAATGAAAAATTCTTTTGAACTTTCCATAACTCATTATTTATAAACATAATATAGTTAAAAACCTTAACAAATCATAAGTGGACTGGTACTTTTATACCACCCTTCTATGCACTCAAAGCACTTTCCACAAGAAGTCTTATTCACAAAATAACATATTGTGAATAAATAACATATTCATACAGCACTTTTACCATGACTAAGTGCTTTTTAAAATGTTTTTTATGGTTAAAATCTATTGTCAACAAGCATGTTACTGCTAGGAATTTTTTAGCCATACCTTAAAAAATTTCACTTGATGACTGCAAATCTGAAAACCCTTTTCATCTGAGCATGTCCTGTTTTTTGATTGTGATGTTCAAATTATTGGACAAGTATGACTGGACAGAAATTGTCATGCATTTTCAGCAATTAAGAAATTAAGTTTGTGACGTGACCCTTCGGCAGCGATGCCAGAATAGTTTCTAGCTCTGCTCACATAGTCACAGTTTTTCACGTATCCTGTCATACAAGTTAGTTATTTTGAGGCCTATCCTACTATGGACACTTCATTAACCAGAGACTCATGGAAAAGGGAGATTGTTCAATCTCCCTTAAAGAAGTTTAAAGAATCCTCCGTTACTAAGGATGACTTCAACGAGGTTATTGCTAATGGCTTAAAGCTAGCACTTCAAGAACAACAAAAGTCCCTCAATAGTTGCCTATTAGTTGCCTTGGCAGTCAGAGAAGCTATGGACTCTGTCTCGGTCCCTGCTTTACACAACTTATGCACAGAACTTCAAAAGACCAATGAAGTGGTAAATGATGTTAGCGGCGAACTCGAGAGAGTGGCTACAATGGCTAAGTGTACTCAAGACCGAGTGGATTCAGTGCAAGCAGCTGCACGAGAGGACAGACGATTGACTATCAATCTAAAGAAACAACTTGACCAACTCGCTACAAAGCTCACAGATCTGGAGCACAGGGGTCGCAGGAATAACATTGGACTTGTTGGCTTACCAGAAATGACAGAGGGCTGTTGGCTACATCAAGGCTAATCTCCCTAATGCTGGGCATACACTGTGCGATTTTTGGCTCATTTTGAGACGATTTTTCAGTTTTGCAACCATTTTGGTGATCGTCCCGAGTTTCGCCTTCATCGTGTGTTGTGCATCGTGTAGTATACGTGGGGTAACGAGAAGCGATTAACACCTCACGACCAGCTCCCGATCATCAGTCGTTTGGTCGTAAGAAAATCAAACCTGTTTGAAATCCTGTCGGCCGTTGTGAGGGTGTCAACGCAGCCTCTCACACTGCGCACGCGCAAACACAGTAATGAAAGTGAAAAGATGGGGCAGCACAGCAGTGCAGCGTGTGATCTGGACACAAGCGATGGAGGCACAACTTGTATAACTTTGGCAAGCTCATCCAAGCCTTTTCAATGTGGCCTCACAATATTATCATGACCACAACAACCGTGAATATAGTTGGATGGACATTGCTACTCAATCACAGCTGCCTGATCAACGTTTTTCATTAGCAATTTAGCAAAGTTGATAGTGGTGGTGTGCGTGTCTATGTGAGTGAAAGACAGAGAGGGAGGGACAGCACAAGAGCCAAAACAGTTCAGGGGGCCGGCCGTGCGGACAACAACAGCGGCGACGGGCAAACAGTTCTTGGGGCCGACCGTGCACACGGCAATGGCGGCGGTGCAGACAAAACAAATTAGGAGGCCGGCCACGCGGAAGGCAGTGGCGGCAACAGAGCAGGTCCGGAGGTCGGTCGCGATGCCAGCGGCAGCGACGAACTGTCTCAGGAGGCCGGCCTCGACGGCCATGATGCCCAACTAGAGGCCAGGAAAGCGACCGGCAGAGGTGAAGCGGAACAGGACGAGCTGGAACTGATGACAGTGTGGCAACTGCAGGACCAGACGAGGCAGGCAAAGGCGAAGCAGGCAAAGGCGAGGCTGAAGCTGGACCAGGCGAAGGCGAGCTGAACCTGGACCAGGCAAAGGCGAGGCTGAAGCTTGACCAGGCGAAGGCGAGGCTGAAGCTTGACCAGGCGAAGGCGAGGCTGAAGCTGGACCAGGCGAAGGCGAGGCTGAAGCTGGACCAGGAAAGGCGAGGCTTGATGATGACACAGAGGCTGGACCAGGCGTGGATGACCTGACGGCAGCGGGATGGCTGCAGAATCTGACGATGGTGATGCTGCAGACGGTGATGCTGCAGTTGATGGTAATGCTGCAGTTGGCGGTGATGCTGCAGTTGATGGTGATGCTGCAGGCGGAGATGCGGATGCTGCAGGTGGTGATGCTGCAGGTGGTGATGTGGATGCTGCCAGTGACGGTGTAGAAGTCGCAGGGGATGATTCAGCAGGTGACGGCTGAACAGACTTCCCCGGACCGTCAGCAGACGCGAGGATGTGCTTGCTGGGTCCTCCAGGACCCCCAGCAGACGAGGCATGACGCTGGACGGGCTCCTCGGGCCCTCCAGCAGACGTGACATGAGGCTGGACGGGCTCCTCGGGCCCTCCAGCAGACGTGGCATGAGGCTGGACGGGCTCCTCGGGCCC